GAGAGAGAGAGAGAGAGAGAGAGAAAGAGAGAGGAGGAGGGAGGGAGGGAGGGGAGACGGAGCTGTGAAATATTTTAGATTTTTACCCTTAGTTTGTCCCCTCCCGAATGAATGAATGAATGTTGTGCTTTATTTTTAATATTATGTATTGTCTTATGTCTTTTGTCTTTGTACCCCCCTCCCCGTGTTTTGTAAGCCGCCCTGAGTCCCCTCAGGGAAAAGGGCGGCCTATAAATTATAATAAACATAAACAAACATATAATGGTTTAGTACAGGGGTCAGCAATCGACGGCTCTGGAGCCACATGTGGCTCTTTAAATCCCTCTGCTGCGGCTCCCTGTCATTCAAAATATGCATCACGACTGCCAATGTGCAACACTTGCTGGCATGTGATTTATGGAGCTTTTCAACCTTGGATAAACCCAAGATAAGAAAAGTTTCAGAAGGAAAAATAACATTTAATTCAACTACATATGCTAGTTTTATAGCTGCTTAGGAAATATTCAGGCACCGGAAGGGTTTTGTGGCTCCCGGTGTTTCCTTTTCTGTGGGAAACGGGTCCAAGTGGCTCATATGAGTGTTTAAAATTGCCAACCCCTGGTTTAGTGTTACAAGAATGAGCTGCATAAAAACCTTCCATCTCTACTTCCTCTTCTGGTTCAGACAAGAAGAAAAATTTGAAAAGTTTAGATTAAATCCCAATCCATCATAATATCGAAACATGGACTAATTATGGTCACTTTTGATGCTTTCACTGAAGCACATCAGATTTTAACCACATAAATTAAGCGGTTTTAATTCAGCCAACAGTCATCATAATGTATGGTTTGGAGGACTGATTCTGCCTCAGATAATCAACAATGGAAACTGAAGCTTAGCTATCTTTCTACAGGTATGCAGAAGGAAGGAAGAGAAAGGAGAAACATGGTCCTAAGACTCACAACAAATGTTTGTCATTGTAACATACACAATATGTTCAGCAATCCAGATATTATTTAATTCCCATCATTTATGTGGCTTATAGTGAAGGAAAATGCTGCCCATGAGCTTTCTGGTCATATTTCAAGAGGACCTGAGATTGTGGGAGATAAAAGGAAAGAAAGAGAGAAGGGAAAGATGGACTTCTGCCCAAAACTAAGGGAACATTGGCAGAATCTGATAGGCACAAGTGTTCTCAGAAGCTAAGCAGGCCGGGAACTGTGGAAGAAAATATCTCCTTACACAGGAAACAATTTCAGAACCATTTGTAGCCTGATCTCCAGAAACAGTAGAAGAAAAATGCCAACTACAGAATGCCTGGCACATATTATAGGAAAAACAGGAAGTTTTTGTCCAACCACACCCTGGGTGGCTGTATATTATCAATCACGGTGTCCTCTTTATCCGTAATATACGAAGGGAAAAACAACAGACATAAGTAGACTCATCTTCCTGAACGTAGGGAGTCCAGTTGATCAGAGTAGCAAAGTCAACATTTCTCCTTACCTTCAGGCTCATTCTTGATCATCTCCTCCATCTTCCTCTGTTTGAGAGTGTCTACCACATCTGCTAGGCTTCCTTTACGCCGTTCAGGAGTTCCCAGCGCCGTGCTGGAAAATGATTCTCCGCTCTGACGCCCACCTTCGTCGGTCTTCGAGGGGGAGGTAGATGAGTTGTGTGGGGCAAATGAAGACATCACTTTATTGCCATCAACTTCCTGGAAAGAAAAAGAAGGTCATATGTAGCAACTTAGAAACATACAAACCTAATTCTGTGAACTTTCTTCTCCGGTAACATGTACTGCAAACTAGGACATACAAAACCTTTGCCAGACCAATTCTTGAATACAGCTCGTCTGCCGGGAATCCACACTGTATATCGGACATTAATACAATTGAGCGAGTCCAGAGGTATTTCACGAGAAGAGTCCTCCACTCCTCTGCTTACAATAGAATCCCTTATGCCACCAGGCTCGAAATTTTGGGCTTGGACAACCTGGAACTATACCGCCTAAGGTCTGACCTAAGCATAGAACACAAAATTGTCTGCTACAACGTCCTACCTGTCAATGACTTCTTCAGCTCCAACCACAATAAATACACGGGCAAACAATCAATACAAACTCAAGGTAAACCGCTCCAAACTCGACTGCAGAAAATACGACCTCAGCAGTGGTGGGTTTCAAAGTTTTTTGGAACCTACTCTGTGGGTGTGGCCTCCTTTGTGGGAGTGGCTTGCTGGCCATGTGACCTGGTGGGAGTGGCTTGCCAGCCATGTGTTTTTTTCCTTTCTTTCTCTTTCTTTCTTTCTTTCTTTCTTTCTTTCTTTCTTTCTTTTATTCTTTCTTTCTTCTTTCTCTCTCCTTCCTTTTGTCTCT